CTATAGTGGCGCCTAGGTGCTACCTCCTTTTTCAGTAATTTATAATCCAGGTCCTCCAATTTTTGCACACTAGGTCCCTCAACTATGATTTTGTACGTTTTGATCCTCATATTTTGATTTTCCTTTCAATCACAAAAAATTGTAACCCAAGGTCCCCTAAACTTTCGACAATTGTACACTTTGATCCCCAAAGTCAAATTCTTTTTACACTTTTGGTCCTTTTCCTTCCTTTAGCTTTCTTCTACTCCAATTTGGGATTTTAGCCTACAAAAGCCACAATTCACTCAATTTCATCAATAATTAGTTCGTTAAAGTCCCCAAAAACACACTTATCAACCTCTCAACTTAATTACTGTAACAGCTAATACTATGTAAAGTACAATTAATATGCCAACAACTTATAAAGAAAATGAAAAAAAAAAGAAAAAAAGAAAAATCCTAAAGAGCTTAATGCAAAATCAAACCAACTTCAGCCCTTATTCACAGTCATCTGTCTGATAAAACATGTCACAGATCAGGTTTTTCACCAGATGTGCCATGTGTAATAAGATATTCTTATTTACAATGGGCCCCGTCAGCATGCACATCAAATAAGTCTAGAATTTTTGTGTTCTAGTTCTCAGGTTGTATTCGTCATTGTTCTTCACGTGTTTGCTAACATAAATAAACTAATAAACTAAGCTCAATGAATGAAAAAACTTGAAGTTTCCCTATTGCATCGTCCATTATAATTTAATACTGTGTACCAAAAGTAATGACTGCTAACTACATTGTTTTATTTTTTTTATTAATTTCATAAATACCTCTTTCTCTTTATTCCTATCTCCATTTGAATGAGAGCCTCTTCACTCTGTTAATACACACACTAATGGTGCTATAAAATATAATTCAAATATTTAAGAAGCTGAGTCTCATGGAGAAACCATTTGAATAACATTAACTATCGCCATTAATGATTAACACTCAACCAATTTTGACTATTAACCAACTCTATTAACTATTGTAAAACACTAATTAAATCACTATTTATGGTTTGCATGTAGAATTAGCAAACTCTGTTAAAGAATTTAATACAATACCATATATATTGAAAATGATAAATGGAATTATTCAGTATGATGATAGGATAAAACATAAAAAAAATTAAATCTTCAGTCAAAAGAAATTTGAAAAGAATCAATTTTCAGACAAATAATATCCTTTGGTGTTTAAAACTTCTGTTATTTGAGTTTTGATGAAAATATTAAAATAAAAGTTACTATAAAACTGAGGGTAGTCAAGTGATTATAAACTCATGGTGATGTGGGATGTAAGCCCTAATTATAATCCACTCCTTTGAAATCAACTCCACATTTACCCATATTCTCAATGACATGACTAGCATAACTAGTCTTTTTAATGGAATAACACTCTCTAGGTCATTCAAGATTCACTATATGTAGAGCACTCATGGTAGTTGACGATCAACTCAATGGCATATTGGTCGATTATCATATATATACCATTATTATTGGTACAGATATTGACTTCTCTGCTCAATCACTCTACCAAACAAACACAGCCTAAAGTACCACTAGGATTCTCATTAATCACACGTGAAATCAAGTACTCAAAGATATATTCATTTACATGCTTTTTTCCCCCTAATTTCACCACTTAATTAATATTAGAGCTTGTATGGTAAATGACTTCTCAGCTCGGTAACCGAACGAGACTTACCAAGTGTAATTACATAATTTTTATGCAAAATGTGGCCCATTAGCATGCACTCAGGACAATTACTCTTGTACCAATTCTAATGGCGTAACACCTCTTCGACATGTTTGGTATATGAAAAAGATAATCCAGTATGACCAAAGAAGGGAAAAACTTTAAGTTTTCTAGGTTGTATCACCCATTAAAATTTAATACCTTGTACCAAAATTAATTAGTGCTGACTGAATTTTTTTGTTTTTTATTTTTATTTTTTAATATATAGCATCTTCTCTCTATAGTCAATAGATATGTTTCATTTCCTAGACTATATCGTCCTATACAGTTCTATCTCCATCTGAGTAAGAGCGTCTTCTCTCTATAATCTATAGACACACACACACACACACACACACACACACACACACTCTTCTCCTCCCTGCTTTGGCATAAAAGAATCCAAAGGTATGTTTCATTACCATTTTCTAGAAAGTGTTCTCTTTCTCTATATTTTTAAATACTTTCACACAAGCAGCCAGAAATATACATATAAAAATGCACACACTCTGGAAAAAAAAAATTCTTTTTTATAATACTCCTGTAGCCACAAGAAGATTTTTTGGTGTGAAATCTTGTGTTTTCAAAGTTGTTATACGTATATAACTGAAAAAGTACATTTTCAAGATTGACTTGAATTTTTTAGAGAAAATAAAGGTTTTTACATATTCTTTTGCACAAAGAGAAATTCGGTAAAAATCCAATTTAAGAATTTTTTTCTGTACAAGAGCAGTTTCTAAAAAAACGTAAACATAAGCACACACGTTATTAAAAAAAATATTTCTCTCTTAGTTTCCTTGTACTTCTTCTATAGCCACAAGAAGATTTTTTTGATGTGAAATCCTCTATTTTTAAATTTTTTTTATGTGTATATGTGAAAAATACATTTCAAGACTGACTTGAAGTTTTTAGAGGAAATTGAAGGTTTTTATATGTTCTTTTGCACAGTGGGAAATCCTGGAAAAAAAAATGCATTTGAGGATTTATTTTATTTTATTTTATTTTTTGTACGAGATCAATTTCCACATAAAAAGTTACATATGAAAACACATACACAAACCGACAAAATTCTTTCTTTCCCGGTTTCCATGTACTTCTTCTACAACCGCAAGATGATTCTTTGATGTGAAATCCTCTCTTTATATATATGTGTGTGTGTGTGAAAAAACATTTCAAGATTGTCTTGAATTTTTTAGAGATAAAGGTTTTTATCTGTTCTATTGTTAAAATGGAAATCACGAAAAAGAAATATTTCTTTCTCTGTTTTCTTTTTTTTCTTTTGCAGCTACAAGAAGATTCTTCGATGTGAAATCCTCTCTTTTTAAAGTTGTTATTTGTATATATGTAAAATAAATACATTTTCCAGACTGACTTCAATTTTTGGGAGGAAAGAACTCTTTTAAAATGCTATTTTGTGCAATGGGGAAGCCTAAAAAATTGCATGTAAGAAATTGCATTTGTAGAACAACTGTTTTTCTTTTCTCTTTTTTTCTCTGTCACTAAGATTCCATTTTCCAGGTATATGATATATACCTTGTGTTTTTATTTTGAGGAGTCCACTGAGTGTGTCCTTGACATCCAATGACTCAACTTTACATAACTTTTCATAGACCTCATTTTCTTTTCCAGAATTGTGAAACATGAGTAGTTCTGCTCATGACATCAAAAAAGCCATTGATGCGTCGGTGGGCGGATTGGTTTGGGTCTGCAGGCAAAATGGTTATTGGTGGCCAGGTCAGATTCTGAAGCCAGATGAATTGCCTGAGACCATATTGCCTGCACCAAGAGCAGGGACACCTATACAGCTCCTTGGGAGAGAAGACGCATGTTTGTAAGTGCCTCTTTTCATGTTTACAATTAAAGGTTATGACCTATATTTAGTTCGCCATGAGACGTCTGTTATAAATTATTAGCCATGAGATAATAGTTTCATTTAATTTGAAATCACGCAAAATGGCTTTTTCAGTTTTAAATTCATTGCTAAAAAACAATTTTGATTACATTTTTTTATAAATGGTTTGGATCAAATATTTTTTTCCTATATAAAACAAGAGTTTTATTCCATCGTATTCTCTTCGTGTGCTTTGTCATGACTCCATACATGGCAATAGTTTCCCCAACTGAGGTTAATTAACTTTTTGATTTTCCTATAAAGAGTGGTGATGAATGCTTGCAAGATATCGTTTCCGAATTTACTTCTCATAGAAGAATTAATAAGCGTGTGAAATGGACATAAATGCTTGAAAGTTTGGTTTTCCAGTTGTTACCTTCGAATCATTGTTAGCAAACTTCTGTAACATTTTGTCATATTTGGCTATCGTTGTTTCTGTTGCATCATTGGCAATAATTTTGTAATGTTTTGCTTTATTCGGCAATCATTGTTTCTCTCATATCATTGCAATGTTAATGGTCCAGAAGGTTTTTTCATGTTTACGTATGATTGTTATGTCTTTGCTTTATTCGGCAATCCTGAGCAGATGAGTCTGTTTTTGGAGCATGTTTGGCTAAGATTACATGTAAATACTCAATTGTTGGTAAATTCTTGTTTCCTAAAAACCTGTAGAGTCTTGCACTCAGACCATTAGAAGGACAAGTTGATATGCAATAGTGAGAACTATCCATAAGAAGTCCATTTCTGTGTATCAATAAATTAACGGATTTTGTTCATTTTGCAGGATATGTTTAGTGATTACTTATTACTTAGTTTCTTTTTCTGCTCAATGTTTATCTTTCTTAAAAGATCCTTGAGTTCAATCTGTAAAATAATTTGATTTGTATTCTTGCCAAATTTCTTTCAGGGACTGGTATAATCTCGAGACATCCAAAAGAGTTAAAGCTTTTCGTTGTGGGGAGTACGATTCATGCATTCGGAAAGCTGAGGCATCCGCATCGAATTCATCAAAGAAGACGGCAGGCAGATATGCCCGCAGAGCTGATGCCATTATTCATGCACTTAAGATTGAAAGTGCTTGTGAAGATTTTGACAAAGATTCCAATAGTTTTCAAGATTATTTGGATTCAGCAGAGGAAATGTCGGCATCTGTAGCATCAATTGAGGAGTCGCATCATGTGGTTCTCTCTTCAGGTATGATTTGGTTGCACGTATACAATTCAATATGTGGTAAGGTATAAATAAATTCATAACCATTAGGCTTTATTAAATTTTGGGATTATCTTTCATGTTACATATAACACCACTTTGTTTCACCAAAGATATGATCCTAATATTTGTATTAACGTCTATACCCTTTATACAAATGACATAATGTTTG